AAAATGAGAGACAAGGTCGAGGGTCCCCAAGGAAAAGGGAAAGAGTGACTGTTCAGAGATAGATATCTTACTTACGTTCAGGTTCTCCAGGTTGTTGGCTTGGGGCTTCTGTGCATAGAGAAAATAAAAAGAGATGAGTAATGTAGGCCAAGAGTCCTATGAATCTCAAGAGGTTTCAGTTGTGGATAAGGGCTATATATGATCAAGGGCCCCAGTGGTATTCTATCAGGAACACAAGAATCTACTTAGCCAGAGGTCCATATTCAGTCATAACATCATCCCATGCATTTCAAAGCTTTCATAACAGTAAGTACAGGAGATATGAAAAATGAAGAAAGTAAATATAAAATGGGTAGAAAATGAGATGTTATTGTGTTCAGCCTGATCTCAAAACATCTCTGAAAGAATAGAAACATCTTGCCAATCCAGCTATTTCTTCTTGTCTTCTCTCCCTGAGGTCAGTGGTGTGAGTAGGTGTGAGGCTAGTTTTGAGATGGATCCTTTCTTAGAAAAAGTGAAGAGACTTTGCATAAAGGGGAAAATTATGGCCAGGATGTAGCATTTCTTTATTATATGTGTTAGGTACAAATATTTTGAATAGGCATTTGTCCTTTTGAATTCATAACATTACATTTCTTTTCCTCTTCTGCTTTCTGAAATAACACTCTTTCAAACGTCAGAGTACAAGGGAAGGAGAGAGATAGAGAGAAAAAGTGTGTGTGTGTGTGTGTGTATGTGTGTGTGTGCGTGAAAGACAGAGAGAGAGAGAGAGAGAAAGAGAGACAGAAAGAGACATAAAGATATAGATTCAGAGAAAGACCGAACACAGAGGGACTGTGAAATACAGAGACAGAGAGAGACAGAGAGAGAGAGAGAGAGAGAAAAACGAACAGTGCAGAGACATAAAGAGAACATTTCATTAAATATTACAGAGTGATCTTGAAATCTTTGATGTAGTATATTAGCTAACAGAAAAAAGCAAAGATAATGCCATGACAAGAGATGACAAAGTGGCGTTGGATTTTGGATCTGGGAAATTCTCTGGGGGAAAAATGAGACCTATTCAATGGAAGAAAGATCACTGCATTTTAACCTGACCACCCTGTTAGTTCACCATTACCCTCTCTTTCTTGCTACTGAACTTCAAGAGTGTAAATGCCAAATTGTTTAAAATGAGAGACAAGGTCGAGAGTCCTGAAGGAAAAGGGAAAGCATGACTGTTTAGAGATAGACATATTACTTACGTTCAGGTTCACTAGGTTGTTGGCTTGGGGCTTCTGTGCGTAGAGAAAATGAAAAGAGATGAGTAATGTAGGCCAAGAGTCCTATGAATCTCAAGAGGTTTCAGTTGTGGATAAGGGCT